TTTTCTATTCCAATTCAGGTTAATGAAGAGTCTGTATGCAGCATCAAGTAAAACTCATCGTTAGTGAACTTAATCATATCCACAACTTTGATTATATGGGATGAAGCTCTAATGGTTCAGCGCTATTGCATTGAAGTATTTAATAGGACATTGAGGGACTTATACACTGTAATTTTCCATTTGGGGGCAAGTGTGTTTTGATGGGTGGTGACTTTCACCAAATCCTTCCTGTTATTCCTAAAGGTTCACGAGCTGACATTGTTAATGCATGTATTAGCTCTTCCTATTGTGGGACTGTTGCAAATATTTAAGTTGACACAGAATATGCGATTGTCAGCAATATCAGCAAACGAAGATGGCAATCGATTGAAAAAAATGCACAATGGCTATTAGATATTGGGGACGAAAAGATAGGCATGCCCCATGATGGCACAACCGAGGTAGAAATACCTCATGATTTGTTGGTGCAAAATTACACTGATCCAGTAGCTGCCATTGTATCTGTTACATATCCTGATTTGATGGAGAATTTGACGAACAATGATTACTTTAATGACAGGGCTATCCTATCCCCAACAATTGAAGTTGTTAATCAGGTAACAGGTGAATTCATTCATGTGCTCTATGATTCCTGGTGATTCTGTTGAATATTTTAGTAGCGACTCAGTTTGCAAATCATCACAAGATAGTAATGGATTTGAGGACCTTTATACAGCCAAGTTCTTGAATACCATTTCTAGCTTTGGTTTGCCCATGCACAAGTTGACACTGAAAGTTGGGGTGCCTATTATGTTGTTGAGAAATATTGATGAAGCCTCTGGATTATGCAATGGGACAAGATTGAGGGTAACACATTTGGGGAAGTCTATGATTGAAGCAATAACATTGAATGGTTCAAAGCCAAATGAGAAGGTTCTAATTATCACATGGACATGAATCTTTCTGATAGTCGTCTTCCATTTCGAATGAATAGGAGACAATTCCCAATTGCATTATCATTTGCAATGACTATAAATAAAAGTCAAGGGCAATTATTACGATGTGTAGGCCTATACTTGCCTAAGCCTATTTTTACACACTGGCCAACTATATGTTGTTCTTTTCAAGAGTTAAGTCAATAGATGGGCTAAAGATTTTGTTGTATGATAACATGGACAAATATGTCAAGACAACCACAAATGTTGTGTATAGGGAGGTTTTTCGGAATCTTAGTGTGGGGGGAAGTGGGGAGGAATGAGTCGTGTATCATTTGATGTGAAACATTAATTTCTGCATCCTTTTTTTTTTATTATTATTGTGAAGTTATTTTTCCCGCGCGATGCACTAGTTCTTTAATGTATATCCTATTCTTTTTAGGAAGAAAAATAGTGGCAATGAAAAGTTAAAGTGAGGAAGGTAAGTAAAAAAGAGAGAAGAGGGGGACATATTGGATTTGACGGGGAAGAATGAATGTAATAACTAAAGCAAGCTTTTAAATTTAATTCAATCATTAAATTTCACTTCATTATATTATATTAATTCATTTTTTTCCATGTTTCAATTTATATTTAAAATATTTTTTATGATTTTTTTTTAAATTTTGAAATTTAATTCACTCATTAAATTTGACTTCTTCATATTAAATTAGTTTAATTTTATTGTATTATGTAAAATATTTTTTTAATCATATATCATTATTTATTAAAACTCATATTTATTATGGTCATTTTACAACCAAACTTATTTTTCCTCAAATATAATCCAAACAACTTTTTATCAATCTCACTTTTATAAACTAACTTTTCTAAACTCCAATCCAAATGCGATTTAGCTATATCCAATTTAACTTTTATCCAATTCTACTTTTTCAAAAGTCAAATTAATATAAGCTCTTTTTCTAATCGCTAATCCAAATGAACTTTTTGTTTCCATGTTCCATTTAAAGCAAGATTTGGAACGCGCTAAGTTAGGTATATAATGGTTTCTTAGGGGATACCCATACAATACTACTTTTAGCTCATCTTCCAAAAAGAAAAAATGTTGGAGCAAACGTACAATTTGGGAGGCCTTTCTAAGGGTTTTTGTTTGGAAACCAAATTATAATTTTAAAAATAATTTTATGATATATAAATAAATATATGAAGGAGTTTGTTTTGATTTATAAAAAAAATATTTTTAAAAAGTATTTTAACGATATCCAAATACTTTTTAAATATGACAAACGCTACCAAATATATGGAGCTTTGCTAACGATGTTAAACTCCAGGAATTGAATGAAGCTTCTTGACCGAGACAGGCATCCACTCGATCTCAGACACCGAAGGAATGAAGTTCGAGCAACCTACGATCACCACCAAGCGATTTCATTGGAGGGCCCCTATCATCTGCACTAGTAGATGATATTTGGGGGTTGGGTTATCGGTTTCCCTGGAATATTAGTATTTAAGTTTATATAATAACTAGAATTTCTCTCCCCGTACGATGCATGGATTAACATATTTAATTAGATTTAAAATTATAATAAATTGTATTATCTATTATAGCCCAAGATCTATTTTTTATAGGAGTATGACTTTTTTATTCATTCAAATGAACTTGAATTAGAGATGCAGAATTTAGAAGGAATCGATAAAAATTTAAAATTAATTAATTATTTCTCCATTCAAACTCCAATTGACATATTATTTAATTATGATACTCTACATTTAATGCAATAATTCAATTAAACTTATATTAATTCTTAATTTAATTCTTCATTTAAGTCTCTAGTTGAATCTCATTTATTTATATTGTTTCTCATTTAATTCAATATATTCAAATTTTTAATTAATATGTTATTCAAATCTCATTAATTGAATATATTCGGATCCAATAATGTCATACCCGACCCATTTTCAAACAAATCAGGTATTATAAGTTTTCAAAAATATAATTGATGATAAGTAAACCATGTTAATAAATTAAATAGCAACCATAATAAATAGCCACGGGAGTTTGTCGACAAAAGGGTTTTTTTTTTTCTTTTCAAATTTTAAATTCTTTTTTTTGCCAGGTTTCAAATTTTAAATGTCAACTTTTTTGGGTCAAATGTTAGATCCACCCCAAAAAAACTCACTAAATTATATTTACAAAATCAATTAGTAAAAATGCAGTTATAAAATTAGGAATATACTACTCCTCCGGTCCTTAATATAGGACCCAATTCTTGAGTTGGTTTTGGTCCTAAATATAAGACCCATTTCTTATATTTATCAATTTTCTCTAAATTACCCCTATAGATACTCCCTCAACCATAATCAAATAGAAGAAGAAGGGGTATTAAAAAAGATGATTATGGTGTTTTAGGAAAAATATGTCACTTTTTTTATAATTAACTAACTTACCAAACTTCCTTAATCTAATCAAATTAGTTAAATGGGTCTTATATTAAGGATCGGAGGAGTATTTACTAAATTGTGAGTAAGCATTTACATATATATATGTGTGTGTCCGCGCTCGCATAGAAATTGAGATTGTAACATTAACACAACAAAATAAAAACAAAAGCCAAGCCGAGCTACCCCTTATCAATTGCCGCCTCATAATTATAAGATGGAGATTGATCAAGGTACAAAAAATTATAGTTAACATATGAAAAAGTCTAGCAAAGTAATCAGCAGATTCTAAGATGTTTCGTGCTCCCTGTGAATAATATACACACTCTAGCTTTAATGAACAAGTAACCTAATCTCCTTAGTGATATCTTTAAACGGATAAGAAGAATCACATCCTCTAGCAACAAGATTTACAACCTCGATACAATCAATCAAAATATGACTACCTCTCGTCCTTAATATAAGAACTTTTAATATAAGAGTTCATTTGACTTTTATCTTAGTTCTAAATATAAGATCCTAATTCATTCTATCTCTCATATTTATCCTTTTTTTTCCTGAGATAATCCTCATAATAATGATAGTTTTAATCAATATACTTGATTAGCAAAATACTTTATAAAAGACAACACATAATCTCAGCTAGTTCTTATATTAAATACCTGAGTTAATAATATTCTTCATTTCTCTTGATCGACCAGCAAGTAAGTCGTTCATGATTGCCAAAAGTTTCGTAATGCCTAGGGAAACGTTAACGAGTTTTCTACTAAACCCAACGATCCATCTAGCGCAAGAGCCACAAACGAAAACCGCTGTCACCTGCCTCTGTTCTGTATCACGGATCCATCTATTGCCAAAGTGAACTGCACCTCTTGCGGTCGTTGATTACGCTGTTCTTGACCACCGGCCACTTGAAACAAATAACAATTTGCAACGCAAATCTTGGTCAAGGTAAGCACTAAGCAGGAAATAAACTGTCATGTGCCTTCCAAGGACTCAGCGTCTCAGTATTATCATCAAACAGTGCAGTACATACTCCTCTGGTCTTATTTATAGAGCAGAGAGAACAGATTTTTTTGGTCCTATTTATAGAGCATTGAGAGAAATTTTTTGTATTAATATACAATTTTATTCTCAATTTATTATTATATTGACTTTGTTTATATGAGATATAATATATATTAAATAGAGATAAAATTAGAAAATTGCCGAATTTTAAATGAAAGTTAATAAAATTTAGGGGTTTTTTTTATCTATGTAAAATATATTAAAAGTGACTTATAAATAGGACTAGAAAAATATGCTTGAAAACCCAAATGCCCCAACAAATAAGTAACCGTGCAATAACGGAAAACAATGTAAATATGACCCACATAAAGCCCTGTAGGCAGTGACACATGGCTCTTACTCACAACATAAAATCACACTCAATTTGAAGGTTACCAAAATTAAATGGCCTATAATACGAAAAGAGAAATTTCATAAACACATAAAAAAAATCCACACTAATTTCAAAATTTTAAATTGTTTGATTGCACCAACCAAAAACAAAACTTCAAGTAACAAACATAACACACTCAGAATCTGAGATCACACAATCCCAAATAAAAATTTAATTTAAATCACTTGTAGTCAGTAACACCCTCAAAGACGGAATAAAAAATATTTAAAATTAAGTATCATTCCTACTATTTAAAATACGGAGGTGAAGAAACCTTAAAATATATTCAGTGGAAAATTAAAAGTAACAATTTAGCAGCCCCGTTTTTACCGCAATCCCCACAGATTTAGAAAAAAAAAACTAAATAAAAAGATTCTAAAAAAAGAGAATTGTAATGAGGTCCTGAGTAAATAATATAATTACTAGAAAATTTTAATGGTAGCAGAGCATTTTGTAATAACAAATTTCAAAGTACTAAATACACCTACTCATTTATTATTAGGATCTACTAATGATTATTTTTTTTAGATCTCATTATAATTCTCCCTTCTACGTAACGAATGGGCAGTTAACAAACTGAAATTATAATATTTATTTAATTGGGAAAGAATGTGTAAATTATTTAAGAACAATACAAAAAATGCTCCATTTATCTCCCTCCTCATTATACCACATGCCGCACTATTAATAGATAATAAATTTATAATTTATAATTTAGAGCTGGTAATAAAGATTGGGCTCCCACAAAAAAAAAAAGGGTTAGCAAAATGATAACCCGTCAAGGTGTAGGTTGGCCCGTATCCACAACGTTAGCCCGTTTTACCAACTCTAATTCATTTCAAGTTTCTACTAAAATGCAATCATGTGGACTTACTCACACTCCGTGATTTCAATTTTCATCCTATTGTTGTTAAATTCCTCCCCTCACTACTTTTCTTCTGCTCCCTCTGTTTTTATAATAAATTTTAAAATTTTATTATTGATGATATTTCATAATATTAATTTCTCAAATATTATATTATACGTACTCTAACCCTTTATTTTTATTATGCATTAGTAATATTGAATAATGTATAATTTTTCTGGTAAAAATGTATAATTTATTTGTTTTTATTATGTTTAATTTAAAAAATCTACCTTTTTTATCTTGAAAAATAAAATTTTTAATAAATTATTTTTAAAATATAATAACATGAAAATATATCTTTATCAAATAATTTGATTTAAATGATTTGATTATATTAATTTGAATATGAATTTTTTTCATTGTGATATTTAAATATGATATATTTTTTGAGTAAAGACATCATATATTTTGATATAAGGATAATAGCATATTAGTTATTTAAATATTTATTTATTTTCTTCTTCTCTGTCTCCTCAGCCATCTAAACAAGAGGATGATAATATTTTTTCCTAATTTTTTATTTTTTTTTTCAAATTTTTTTTCCTATCCAAACACAGGTATGTGTTGTTCATCATTAAATATTTATTGGAAATATATTAAAAATAAAAAAATATTAAAATATATCTATATCCATACATGTACATCTACATGTGTGATTATTTATATTAAAATGTATTTACATTTATTTTTAAAAAATATTATTTTTTCCCAAAAATAAAGAAGATCGTGGAAGATAACAGGGAGCAATTAGAAGTTGACCAGAAATCTATAACTATTAGGTGGCAAGGTATGATTGGTCACTTTTACGTGGACAGACCCATCGTACGCACATAAAATTGAGTTTGGAACAAACGCGGTCGTTTATAAATATAAATATCGAAGGCAAAGAAAAATCCTGTGCCGCCGGCTTGTCCAACTCCGTTTCAGATCTATCGCTCAACTCGTACCCGTCGATCTCAGGTCTTTTTCCGTCGTCTTCTTTTGATTTCTTCCGATTATTTTTCTTCTACTTCTTCGATTTTTGATTCGAATCACAGATCTTCCTTGTTTGATTACTGTATTAGGGTTTCGCAATTGAAGATTTATATCGTCGATTCCTTTTGTTAGGTGCGGTTGTTCTTGGTTCTGAATCTGATCTGTTGATTAATTGAATCCCTTTCTGGGATTTCATTGATTCCGTGTTTAGCCGAAGTTAGTTTAACAGAGAACTAGACTGTGTTGCGTCGTCATAGCGCTGTTTGCTTTTATTGGATTTTGTTGTTTTCCGTAGAATTTCGTTAGATCCAATTAGAATTTCCACTTGGCTTCAATATTTACAAAATTCTTCTTGCGGATCCAGTTTTTATTTCCTTTTATATGGTATTTTTTTGGTTCATATTTCTAGTGGTTATGAACTCTTGTTTGGATTCGTTTTTGTTGGATAAGACTTGTTTAGGATTAAATTGTCACCAAATTTCAATACCATATGGAGGGCTTTTGAGATTCACCAAGATGAGAATGTCATATTGGATCTAATGGGAAAAATGGGCTTGTTTGTATTGTTGGGAATCGAAACTCGAGAGAGAATAAGATATCTGCAGATGTCTTGTTTACGTTTTGATGATCCTCATGTTGATATTTTCCTGTCATCTTAATATTTAAGATGAAGCAACGTCCTGTTTATTGAGGGTTTCATCAGATCATCAATTCAAGAAATCTAAACGTGAGGGAAAGATGTTGGTGTAGTTTAAAATTAATAGCACCTCTCTGTTGCTTCATTGTGGGCTCTAGTTATTCCTTGCACTTAGATTGCAAACGTTTCTCAATTTATTTTCATGAGGATGTAGTGAAACAGAGCATGGTGTGTGCTTTGTGCTTGAATATTTTGAAGGCTTAGTGCACGTATTCTTTGGATTGGCTTGCTAAATCTCTGTATATCTGTTTCAGAAAATGGCTTTAGGTGGAACAGCTCCCCCCAGAGGAAGCGCCGCTGCCACTGCAAGTATGCGCAGGAGGAGAACTACTGGTGGAGGAGCTTCGGGAGGGGCAGCTGGAACTATGCTTCAATTTTACACAGATGATGCACCAGGACTTAAGATTTCCCCAAATGTGGTTCTTGTAATGAGCATTGGCTTCATAGCTTTTGTTGCCATCCTTCATGTGATGGGTAAACTGTATTTTGTGCGCAGAGAGGCTTGAGGCTTAGCAGAGCAGAGTATTTAAAGTTTATGTATTCTTAATTTTTCATTTTAGATACAAAATATTTTATGTTAAATGATAAAAGTTGGATTTTTAGGCTTGGATCTTTCCTTTCTTTTCCTAATCATGTTTTTTTGTGTTGGGCAATGTATTTCTTTTCTCGTATTCTTTGTTTTTAATCTTAATAGCTTTGGTTGATAGGAGAATTCGATGCCAGTTGGAAATCATATTTCAGTGAAATGTTGTGTTTCTACAATAAGAAGCTTGCATGTAGCTTTAGCTGCAATATATTGCTATTCATAAAGATTTGACTGGAAGATCAAGTTCTGAAGCTTATATTTTCTTTGTTGTGCATTATATTGCCTTATCATGATTAAGCCTTTCCAGTTCTGAAGCTTCGTTCTTCCCTGCGCTTGATCTAACAAATGTAGAATTAGAATGGAAGGTCCAAAAAGTATAGCGAGCCTTTTGGCTATAAGAAGGTGATATTAGATTCAGGGTGGTTTGGAATCCCCCCTCAAGTTTCAATCCCATGAGAGAAAAAGGCGTATAAACAATAAGGATTTTGCTGCTATGTTCACCATAGTGTTATGCTTACTTGAATTGTTTAGTGATTGCCGTAGGAAATTCAAGGCACTACAAAGAAAGAAAGATGTTTTTCATTTGGGCTATCTAAATAACTAATAAATTTATATAATTCAAATTTATTTATTTTATAAGGCAACGTATTGTTCCAAGTCATTGACATTGATATGATTACTCTCATCATACTCTATGCAGACACGGCGCTATAATCTGGCAATCAGCAACCGTAATTATCAATCAATGTATCCATAAAAAATTAGGGAAAATTGTTTACTGGATAGTGTAAATCTCAAATTTCACGGAAAATCTTAATGCTGATTCGAGTTATTTTTCAATAATTTGTATTTTTTTAATGAAAAATATTGATAATATTCTTGTCCTAAACCTTTTTGCCCCCTGTGGCATCGGGCCTTGAACTGCTTATTGATTTGGAGTCTCAAATGGATTCATAGATGGTAAATGGTCAGTGCATCATATCAGATTCTAGTGCCGCCCGACTGCTTAATTTGTGTTTGAATCGGCTTAACAAAGTTTTTTTTGGGGTACAAAGCTTAACAAAGTTTCGTGTTTAGGGTTTTGCTTTCAAAAGAAAAAGGTTACGTGTCAAGGTTTTGGGATCTTCATTTGGTTGTGACGATTCCCGCTACTTAAACTGAGCTATAGGGGGAAAAAAATCTGGTTTCATACTTTTTTAATCATTAGAGGGAAAAGAAATACAAACACCAGTTCATACCAATATCTGAAGCAACCTAACGGAGACCAGAATCAAGAAGAAACTACAAAGCATTAAAGCACTAAATCGAAGCCAAAACCCAATGTAGAGGAGGGGGAGGGGCTGGACTTTTGTCTATCCTCATTAAAAGAAGCAGCAAAGAGCATGGCTGACATGCTCAATCAATCCAGCCCACCTTTCCCGATGCCAGTACTTCACAACCAATTGCATATTCAAGAAATCTTTTTATTGTCTAACGGAAGAAGCAAACCAAAAGTCAAGAAACTAATGGGACTAAGGGGGTGTTTGGCAACCTCCAAACTATGGTTTCAGAAGCACTTTTTTGCAAAACAAAACAAATTCCTTTATATACTTACTTCTTCATAAAAGAAAAAGGTTACGTGTCAAGGTTTTGGGATCTTCATTTGGTTGTGACGATTCCCGCTACTTAAACTGAGCTATAGGGGGAAAAAAATCTGGTTTCATACTTTTTTAATCATTAGAGGGAAAGAAATACAAACACCAGTTCATACCAATATCTGAAGCAACCTAACGGAGACCAGAATCAAGAAGAAACTACAAAGCATTAAAGCACTAAATCGAAGCCAAAACCCAATGTAGAGGAGGGGGAGGGGCTGGACTTTTGTCTATCCTCATTAAAAGAAGCAGCAAAGAGCATGGCTGACATGCTCAATCAATCCAGCCCACCTTTCCCGATGCCAGTACTTCACAACCAATTGCATATTCAAGAAATCTTTTTATTGTCTAACGGAAGAAGCAAACCAAAAGTCAAGAAACTAATGGGACTAAGGGGGTGTTTGGCAACCTCCAAACTATGGTTTCAGAAGCACTTTTTTGCAAAACAAAACAAATTCCTTTATATACTTACTTCGTAAACTGTAAAAGCACTTCTGAAACCATAGTTTGGTTTCCATCCAAACACTCCTTAAGTCTAACGGATGTCACTAGTTCTTCATAACATGACAAACTATAGTTCGAATTCTCACTGTGTGTGGTTCCCATATTTAGTGTTTAATAGTCTCTGGAACATAATTGCCTTCAGTGGAAAGTTATCTATACTTAGCAAAAATAATCGGAAGTCAAGAAAAACTTTTAGAGCAATAATGATCATAACAAAGTTAAGCCAGCCAATGCCACAAGCAAAACTAAACCACAAGAAGTGGTAAACAGAAGCAACATGAGGCACATAGAGCAAAATGCTATCAATGAGGGTTGGATCTAGAAGAAAGAGCGAATTCCTCATAATATGACGAATTAAAGTTTGAATTTCGCTGGAAGAGGTATTCACATTTATTGCTTGATAGTGTTTTGAATAAAATTATCTCTAATAGAGAATACCTATGTATAGCAACCAAAACAAAAAAACAAAGAAAGCCCACATGGCAAATGCCCAGCAATTGAACCCACATAGCAAAGGCCCGGCAATTGAAGGGGGCGACCAAAATACCGAAAGCTCAACTACGGAAGTCCACAGCCTTGATGACTCTAAGAATGTTCCCAGATCCAATTCTCAGCCAACCCCCTGGATTCCCAGCAACAAATTCAACGTAGTCACAACACCGAGAACAGCGCCTTTTTTACGGCCCGACATGGCCATTTTCTGTTTTTTGGATTAAACCCCTTCGAAGTCCTTACCCTTTTAACGTGCTGCAGTTTTGGATTCACGCTCTTTTTTTTTTTTTTTCGTTAAATCTGTTTTCACCGATTTCAAAATTATCAGGACTAACGTTTTGAACAGTATAAGGGAAAGGGACGAAGAAGAAAAACAAAATGAAATAGCATAAGACTTTTTAAGTGCATGGAAACTTATAGTCAACTCTCTTCTTTTCCACACCACCTTAATAACAAGATTCACAGAGACTGAGCTTTGTTTCCCAAAAACCCTTCACAAGCAAGGCTTCAGCGTTGAACTCTCACCCAACTCAATGAAGCTTGATATTCCTTTGAATCAGAGTCCTAATTGGCTTCTTTACTTTCTCTCTCCATCCTTTGAATCAAGTTAGGCAAAACCACCGCCGATTATTCCTTATTTCTTCTTCATGTCTTTCCACCATACTTAGCACCAACCGAAGAGAGGTCTTGCTATAACCTCTTGCAGCGATCACCAAATCCCATGAAGAAGTCGGCAAAAGACAAGGATTAAAAAAAAAAAACAAAAGGGAACTATCCAAGTCAATGGTGAAGAATCTCTCCCATATGGAAAGAGAAAAAAACTCACCCCAAGAGCGAGAGATAATGAACTAATTTTCATGCTTTAAAAAATAATGTAATTATTTTAGCCAAGAATGGTACGAGAACTGTTTTCGTCAGCTATGGTGCAAGAATTTCTTTCATCGCAAAAACATATGTAAGAACACATCAAATATTGCTGGATCAAAGTTGAGTTAAACCCGTGACTTTTTACTTACTTTTTGGCTCGGGTCTAACTTGACTAAAAATAAGCCAGTTACAATATAGGTTAAGATATTGAAAACCAGACCAGTCATTGAATCGGTAAAAATAGTAGATCAAGAGCCGTTGGGTCAGACTGGAGTCAACTCAAGATAAAAAATAATTTAAATTTTCATTAAGAATTAAATGTCAATTTAGTACCTTGCATCACTAATAAAATAATCATATAATTACAATTTCTTTCCAATTTCTTTGTAATTCCTTTTACGAATTAAAGTCACAGTATCATACTACTAAAATCACTAAATATTCATCATAACAAAATATAAAAAAACATATATGATAACAAAATATTCTTCCTTACTGTCATTCAATCACTAAGTTCTGATTATTAATAACTTTTTTTAAAAAATCATCAAAATAGTTTTTAAAAAAACAACGGGTTCACCAATCAAATTGGTTGGGTTACCCACATAACCCGAGTCATGCCCAGTCACCTCAAACCCGATTTCTATGCCCAATTGGACTAGTTGCTGAGCCAGTTCGTTAGCTTTTGGACTGAACTGGTAGGTTCAGTCCATGTTTCAATGCCGCACTAGGCATACAAAATGAACGAATATGCCTAGCGCCGGGGCGGCGCTAGGCATGGATACCTTTTTATTGAAAGCAATTTTGTTTGAAATATTATCAAGCGCTAAATATGAGTATTTCTTCAAGCGGAGATTTGAATCTTAGTTTACTATGTTATGGGACTAACTTTTTTCGCTAGATACAATTCTGTTGGTCAGGCTTATCAAGCTTTGATAATCTATTAGCTTACACATCAATCAAATGTCAAAAATAAAATTTATCACACGAGTTGCATATGAATTGAAGGCTAGCACAAGCAAACTTCTAATCCTAAGAGAATAAACTCTTCAAACTTGTTTGTCTTAGTAACAAGAAAAACCATTCTAAACCTCAAAATCATCAAAACCCCAAATTTATAGGGCTTTGCCAAAACTATAGCACACTCTTGAAAAACCACAACAAACATCAAGCCAATCCATATTAGAATATCAAAATTAGTTTAACAATTCTTAACGGAGCTTAATTAGTAATTGGTGGTGAGATTTTTTTTTGGTTTTTTTTTTTGGGGACTAGGTCATATAGAGTTTTAAATAAAGTTAGGGGAAAAAGAAAACGGTGGACCAACCAACGCCAATCCTGTCATTGCATTATCTCAATTCTTAGCCAAGCGTGCACCCAGAGGATAAGGGGTACGTTTCGTAAAGAACTTCATTTGCATTTTTCAAAAAAAAAAAAGGAGGAAAAAGGAATCAAATGAAATTTGTTTTTAGAATAAATAGATTATAAACTATAAAATATTTTAGAAAATGTTTCAAATAAAATGTTTTGAAAAATGGTAAATGGTCTGGCTTTTCAATAAATAATGTCATGGAATAAAAAATGTCCTGGTTGATGTTACTGCGATAGTGAAATATATGCTTACGTGTCATATAAAATAAAATAATCTCAAACATCAATTCATATTTTAGCGTCACGTGTTGTCAAATATGCGATTCCTTTTTGGATC